GTGTGTGTGTGTGTGTATGAAATGAAAAGGATAAGCTTTGGCTTGTTGATCCACCTGTTGATTCACACTTCTGTTCAGCAGCCTATAATCCATGTTTTGTTGAGCAGCCACAAAATGTTCACTTCAGCAATTGCTTTTCTTTGGCCTTAATTGTTAAACATATTGCTCTTCTATTTCCAATGCCAACCAGGTTTGTCTGGTCGATTAATCAATCAATGGACTAACTGATTTATTCTCTGATCGGCTGCTGAACAGGTAAAGGAAGAAACACAGCAGCCCCAGATGGTGTTTACTGTGCGCCACGCCACCGTGACCTTCCAGACAGACGGGGACACATGGCGCGAGCAGAAGGAGAAAAAGGCGGCGCTGATGGTAGGCATTCTGATCGGCGTGTTTGTACTTTGTTGGATTCCCTTCTTCATCACCGAGCTCATCGTTCCACTGTGCTCCTGTGACATCCCACCCATCTGGAAGAGCATCTTCCTGTGGTTGGGGTACTCCAACTCTTTCTTCAACCCGCTCATATACACCGCCTTTAATAAGAACTACAACAATGCCCTGAGGAACCTCTTCTCCCGGCAGCGCTGAGCCACTCTGCACGCTCGGCAGACACACCAGCATGCACTCCAGTGTTACTCCTCCAGACAGAAAGGGACTAACCTGTCTGTGTCCATCACTCCATCATCTCTCAGATGGATGACAACCAGAAACTAAAAATGTGTCATTTTTATTTAAGTTTTGTTTTATTTATTACCATGCTGAGGCAACCTCACAGCTAGACTGATGCGGGTGTCTCAGCTGTATCTACAAAGAGAGGAATAAATTGGTTGTGTTGTGGCAGTAGCAGATACACTGCTGTTTCAGGCTTATTAGGGAGAAAGGCATGTTAACTCCCTGATAAACAGTTTCATCATCATATGTATCTGAGGCTACTTTGGAATCATTTCAAAGTATAGCTGGAACTAATGTTCAAGAAAAATCTTTTAGAACTTAACAACAAGAAGAACCTCATTAATAATAAACCAGAACAAACTGTGGATTCTTTAATAAATGAAACCACATAAGGCTTATAATCGTAGATAACTTTTCAAGCTAAGAAATTTATTTGGTTATAGAAAAAAAGGATAGAAAAGACCCAGTGAAGCGATTAAGTGTTCAGCAACCTCCACCTTTTTTATAAAGGTACAGATGCACTAGCTGACTTCACATGCAGTTTATTCGTATACTTCTAGATAAATGTACAATATTTCATCTGCTATGTACCAATTATCCTTGCACATACACCTACACGCTCCCATGTATTTTATGAAAGCAGGGAAATAGCAGAACACGTTATCATTTCCATCATCTTTGAATAGATGCATTGTTGAGAGTGCAGCCACACATGCTCATATGTCACAACAGACATGTAAAGTAACTATGTGATACAGAAGATGTGTGGATGGTGCAAAGCTATTTAAAGCATTATCATCTGAAGCCAGAGAAAATAAAAAGCATGGGACATGTTGTTGCTTCAATGAGACATGCATGATTTAAGGTTTAACTTGTGGCGATATAGTAGGGGGATTATGGAATTAAGAAAAGCTGATGTTAACCAGTACAAATGATAATCAATGAGCTCAGCCCACACAACATATGATTCAGTTGGTCTAATGTTTTCCAGTTGCTTGTCTTTATCAGTTTCTACATGACTCCCCCAAATTGCCACGTTCTACTCAAAATGTTCAACACTGTAGAATCAGTAAGTGAACCTTTATTTTGTTGTGTAATGTACCGTAATGTGAGGAATCAAGCATGCGAAAGGGATCCTCAGAAAACAGTTGTGATATATATCAGTGAGCTACTGTTGTAGAACAACAAAGTTTCTTGCAGAAAATCTAATTAAATTTGACATTCTTTCAATAAAATAAGTATTAAGTGTTATGTATGGCTGAAATAAGCTAAATAAACCATTTAACAAGGCTAAGAGTCCAATGCCACGTTAGCTGTGCTAATGTGAGCTAAACTAGCTAACTTAGGCATGATATCATGCTCAAAATGACGACGCTAACATGCTGATGTTTAGCAGGTTTAATGTTAATTATGTTCACGATCTTAGTTTGGTGTGTTAGCATGCTAATATTTTGCTAATTAGCACTAAATACAGCTGAGGCTGATCTATAAGACAGTAGCAATCTTAAGCGTGGATTATTTAAATTCAGGCCTAATTAATATTTATTATATATGGTTTGTACCTGACCTCAGACTTTTACCTTGATTTGAGCTTTTATATTATATTTTAAAAGATGTCCAAACACTTACAGGCTTTAAATGTCATGGTTTATGAACACAAATTTGCCATATATGTAAGAACAAGCCTCAACAGTAAAAAAAAGAAAAGAAGAAAGAAATAAAGAAAGAAAGAAAGAAGTCAGGCCATACTACATTATCAAGTTGAATAGAGTAATGTATCACAATAAAAAAACATGAATATATGTGAAAAGAAAATTAGCCCAATTATTGTTATGCTGGTTCCAATGATATCAATTTTCTGTGGTAAATAATGAAATGCATGGAATATCGACAGGAACAGTAATGGTAAAATAAATTATACACAATGGTGTACTGCAGAATTCACTTATTTAAATGACTCCTGACTGCTCTCCAGATTGCCTGAGGATGGTTGATTATTCAACCTTTGCCCCGTAGGTCTTCTTCTGTGTTATGACCCTGCTCAGGAAATGTGTGCAGAATCTGTGTTGTTTACCATCCATCCCTGTGGACATTTTTCATGTTTAAAAGAGGTAAAAATGTGGACAAATACCTTCTTTAGAGGCACTTCTTGGAAATGCATACTTCATATTATTCATACAGTACCTGGAAAAACAATTTTAAATGGTGTATTGTGTGTAATTGTGTCTGTGTATTTTTTCAGTGTGTGCATGTTTTCTTCCACAGAAGCCTCAATGATAAAACTGACAATAAACAAGGACTTAATTTGTGATAGACAACGTCAAGCTTGGCAATTTGACAAGAAGCCACAAGGCACATTATTTATTTGCTAACAGTTGACACACTCGTTCACAAACACGTGCACACATGCCTGCATATACAGAAAAGGGAAAAGAAAGCATGACAGAGAAAAATAATTCAGTTTTGATAAAACATGTATTTTCATGAGGATCATTGCCCAACTACTGGAGGTCATTTTATAAACAGGCATTGGCGTGTCCTATCTTTCTGGTGCCATTGCCAGCGCACACACACATTTCAGAGCCAGGAGTGAGCCTGCTGCTGTTCAAAGGACCACATCCATCCATGTTTTCAGGGAAGACAGCATGCATGAAAATGTGGCTTGGCTAAACTGACTTAGGATTAGAACCAAATGCCTCTGGCAAGGCAAACCTGTGCTCTAACTGCTGAGTTTTACAGAAATAGACGCAACAAGCAGCCTCATCACACATGTACAGTGATAGAATGTAAAAATTATGGGAATATGTGGCCAAATACAGAATTTAATAGCAAAATATTTTTTATTAAATATGTTTTAACACCGTAAACAGCACCTACTGTATGTATATGTGCTATCTGTTTGCAATTGGACTTTTTAAATATATTTTAAATATGTTGTGTAATATTCCAGACAGTTTACATGTAAATAAAGATATCCCTAGTTTGCCAACACAAGTCAATTAAATAAAACAGGTTTTACGCAGCTGAAGTGCATGTGGTGGAGACTTGTAGTGTACAGTGACCAGACAGGACCAGATGCCCTGCACTACCTCGTCTCTCTTATCTTAACAACAAAGTGGGCTCAGTCTCTTGCTGTCTAAGGCCACGTTGACTGTGTGACTCTGTTGTTGTTCCACTTGTTATTCTGCGACAGCTCAGTTTTATCCAAATAGAAACTGCACAGCATGACAGTGGAGAAGAGGATCCTAGTGAGAATGTGTATATGTGATCTGAATGAGTGCATCCTTCTCACTTTCTCACCCTCTGCTTGGATTCTCGCTTGCTTTTAATTCAGGTTCTTGGGGCAAAACAGGGGTGATTGTAGGAGAATAGAAAATTGGAAATTCTGAAATACTCCAAAGGAGATACAAGCTGATAAACCTTTCTTTGCCTTAGGACAGAATGGGATGGACAGTGCTTGGTGGATTTCTAATGTTTCTTCTTTCATATTTTAATACACGAACTCTGCTGATGTGCTGGGTAGAAGGTTAACATGCTAACGTGCTCAAAATAAGAACACTAACATGCAAATGTTTAGCAGTTATAATGTTCACTGTGTTTACCACCTTAGTTTAGCGTGTTAGCATTCTAATATTTTTAATTAGCACTAAACACAAATTACAGCTGAGGCTGGAAATATTAGTTTTGTAGGTATTTGGTTGTTGTTATAAGTCATCCTAAGCCATTAATGTCTGCACCAAATTTTATAGCAATACATTTATTCTTTTTTTTTTCAAAAACACAAATGTCAACCTTGTGGTGCAACTAATAAGGAAAGTAAAAAAAAAAATTACAAAAGTCATCCAGATAATTAATCTCTGAACTATGAATATCACTTTCATGGTTGTGCATCCAATTGTTGTTGAAATATTTCAATCTGAACTTTTCCAGGCTCAAATCTTTTCTCAATGAGTTTGAGAGGAATTATATTTATGAAAGCACAAATAACAAAACAATTCAACTATCATAAAGAAAAAAAGAAAAACTAGGACACAATGTACCCATAATGTTTAACAGCTGTAGAGTCCGTAATGTTTATGAGTCAGGGTCTCAAACATGCGGCATGTGAATATCAAAAACTAGTTTAGTAAAGTTTCCTTTTAACCTCAAAAGGAACAACAAGAAAGGTTTTTAAACCTGAGGGAAATGCTGTCATCATTCTTTTGTTCATTTCACAATTCTTTCAATGCGAAAGAATGCGCAAAGAGTCATCAGTCATTTGTTGGATTTGTAATCATTAGCAATCTGTTTGCTCTGAACATTGATCCATTGCTCATGTTCTGCTATTTTTTTGTGTTTCCTCTATCTTCTGACCCCTGCACTGTCATTCACTATAATAACTCACTCTGCCAGGCCATGAATAGTTAATACAACGCATGTGGAAAGCATCTCAAACTGATTCAGCAGATGCTACTGGGCTAGTCCCACTGATGAATTAGGATAAGCTTATGACATTTTAAAATGAAAGCACTCCGGCGTATCTCTATCAGCTTCCAAAGCCTTTATAAATAGTAGTACATCCTCTCCTGATAACAGTGGCATTATACAGTACGTATGTGCACAATTTATTTCAAAAGATACAACAAAACATTTTTTTTATTAGGTTGCGGCATAGTGAAGGTAAAACAAACTGTTATCTTCTGTGTCATTCTGCTGTCTGAATTTCAATTTTACACATCAGTGGGCTCTGTTAAACCAATGCAGACATGGAGAGAGAGCAAAGAAAAATTTCACAGTTTAAAAAAATAGACGTAGCACAGACAGATGAATCTAATATGCGGATACAAGAGGGCTGGTTCCCGGTGAGATTAAGCAGGTGGTGTTGTAATTTCGAGTTTGCTGGAAATCACGAACAAACTAATTCAGGAGGTGATTGCTCGGAGAGGGTAAATGGTAAGCTGTGGGAAGTCTCACCATGTGCTCATCAGGGAGAGAAATACAGACATACATGCACACAAACACATATAAGA